AATCTATACTATTTGTTAGTAGATAAAAATTTATTCTGTTTTAATTGTATTGGTTATAATTTCAATTTTATTAGTTATAGACATTTTACTCTATTTAGATAATACATAAACATTCTTTTAAAATTAATTATATTTTGATTAGCGCGGTTGCGCATAATTGTTTATAATTTATGCTTTTGAAATTACCATTTTATGATTGATGATATTTTTAAATGTTCACGTTCAGATTGTATTAGATTGCATTTATTGATTTTTGGTTTGGTTCCGGTTCGGTTGTGAATTTTGATTTTCGGTTCATAAAATATATTAATAGTTTGGTTATTTATGAATTGAGTTTTGTTTGAATTTTGTTATTTTGGTTCTTGGTTTGGAACATTTCTTAGAAACTATATTAAGTTTCACATAATTTCATTAGAATACTTTTCAATATCTTTATCTTTTTATTTTAAACAGAAATGAATATCTTTAGATTCATATGAAGAGTAAACGTATTGCAGATTATTTACAATTTAGCTACTGGGACAAGACACCAGGAAGAAGAAAGATCAAGAAAGAAAATAAATAAATTATAAAGAAAAACAAGCCTAAAGAACCATGATAAAAGAAAGAAAAGGCAGAGATATTCCATCAAGAAAAACAGAGCTAATGATGATCAACAATCAGTGTTGTATCAACTGTGAGAGTAGCTTGAGAAGAAAATCAATCTCTTTTTGTGAAAACTCAGGTCTTGTAATGGCAACATCATCCTTGGAAGCTGATGATGGTAATGGAGATGATGGTGATGGTGGTCGTATCATCATGAGTGTTACTGACTCTGAAATCTCCTCAACGAAGTCCACAATCACTCCTTCAATCCCCATGACATATTGCATGTACACTGCCTCTCCCACATTGCTGCAACACCCATTTTGAATCAATACATCAGCTTAGAGTTTAGAGGCAGAGTTTTGTTGTGCATGATAAGAAAGAATGAAGAAGCTTTACTTGAGTTTGCCGTATGTAAGGAGAGAGAGGTTAGATTCTTTGATCTTGGCAATGGCTGATGGGTTTCTGAAAACTCCTCTAACCTCTGAAACAATGCCTTGTAGCTTTCCATCCAAGCAAACTTTAATGGCTTCTTCTAGTGAGTTTCTTCTCTCATCTTTGTACATTTGGTTTCCCGCATCAGTCAGAAAGAAAACCTAAGAAAACAAACGATAATCTAATCAGCATTTCATCAAATTGTATGTATTTAGTGAAAATTAGTATTAAAAACTTTAGGAACATACAGGGTAAGTGCTCTGTAGTTCCCTAACAAGCTGTGCTGCATCTGGTTGGAAACTTGAGAAGATCACTGGTCTGTCTTTAGCATAATCAAACACCACCTGTAGTGTGTGCCACACACAACAAATGGAAAGAAAAAAAAAAGACGTTAAGAGATTTTTGCAAATACCATTAGTATTGGTTGGACTTAGTAATTATGAACATACCTGAAGAACTGTTCTCAGGACATGGACAAGAAACTCTCGTTCATAGAGAACCTGATCATCAAATTTCAACTCGATATTGAACCCTAGAGATTGCTCAACTCGTTCGAAAGCTTCTTGTAGCGTGCAAAGGGGGTCATCAGAGTCAACGTCCCATTTCAAAACCTGACCTTCTTTGGATTTCCTCATAAGGGTCTTCCCTATTTTCTCAGCTTCTTTCTGAGGACCATAGAGGAGGAACTCAGAAAGATTCAAGTCAGTCACTCTACTCTCATTAACAACTCCCTGAACACAATATAAACAAACACAAGATCCATCAATATAAGATCTAAATCTTGCATCAGGATTTAAAAAAAAAATCAAGATCTAAGAGAAGACTCACGTTTTCTTGAGAGTAGATGAAATCATCGTGGAAAATGACTGGACAATCATCTTTTGTCACCTACAAAAAAGAAACAACCACACAAAGCTCGTGGGTTCACTTTCGTGGCCATCTCTCTTTCTTCAACCTTCTTGTTCATATGTTCATATCATTTCTAAGAAACTATAGATAGCATCCCCAGGAGAAACAAAGAAGATCCAAGATCAGAATAGAGTTTTCTTTAAACCCAAATCTAACCCTTAATCAAAAACAAAACCCTAAAGATTAACCTAGTCTCAGAGAGGTGGAGAAGAAACCAACCTGAACGTCGAACTCAATGAAATCGATGGGAAACTTGGCTGCGGAATTGAAAGAGAGGATAGAGTTTTCTTTAAACCCTCTGGTTCTCCGATCAGAAGATTGCAACACATTCATACCATTTCCTCTGTGTCCGATCACAGAGAATCCAGGCATCTTAAACGGTTTCGGTTTGGTCAAATCTAAACCGGAGAGACTCATACCTTAATAACAGAGACAAGAACAAGAAGAAAGAGTGTATTAGCAAAACGATGAAGGCTTGCCAACTTTATATTACAAGAATCGTCAAATATCCACTTGCCAAAACTAGTAAAATTCTGTAATAACTACAAACATTAAAAGCAGATTCTGAAATCATGTGGAGTTGACGTGATACACAAGGTAGGTTTGACAATATGTTACCTTCGGCTAATCCGTAAACGGAATCAGGGAGGCTGGGGACGTCGGCGACGAGGACAGTACGAAGAGCCATTTTCTCAGGAGATTATACCAAAAGAGAGAGAGTTACAAAATGTGTGTATCGATTTCTTGTTTCTATATTCTTAGTTTTGTTTTTTATTTAGAGTATTTATATAAAAAGTGGAGGAAGCTTAAAGGGGCTGGATCTTCTCCGCGTTCCGAATATTCCTTTCCACGTCAGCATTGTGCCTTTCCTGATGCTTTCTTCTTGCCGTTTATGGGATCTGGTTTGACAAAGACAATAGAGTACGGCTGTCATCTTATACGTGGCTTTGAGTCATTGGATATAATTTTATCTTCCACGCCTCAATCACTTGATGTCTTTTTTATTTTTTTATTTTTTTTTTTTTTTTTTTTGGTCAAATGTCTTTTTTATTTATGTCTTAAGAACTTTGTTTGTTTTCCAAACTTAGTGTAATTGTTTCTGTTTTTATTTATAAAGATTCCTGCATAAATAGAAGAAAATAAATTAGAGGATAAGAAAATAGAAATTCAGAAATTTTAAAAATAAATTATTGAGTAGCTGAATATTTATGTCATTTTTCACGCCTTCACGGTAGCAAAAAAATAATAATATAAGGTATAGTTTTTTTCAAAGCCTTTTTCAAAAAAAAAAGATATAGTTTTTATTGGAGTACTTACTTTTTCTCCCAGACACGGTTTCCAATGACCGGCTACCTAACAAAAAACTTTTATTAACCACCGCACCTATCTTCCAGACACCGTAATATTCAAATCAGCCACCGCACCTACTTTTCTCTGATGAAGATTTTCCATTTTCTCACTGTAATCTCTCCTTCTCTAAACTAGAAGAAAGCTACAACTTCAGTCAAGAGATTTTATTACAGTTTGAGAAGCTCAAAATGGTTACCCTTCTACCTAAAAAAAGTTACTCGATCTCAAAATTTCTTAAGGGGTTTTGGTAAGAAGTTACTGTCTTAGTACAGATCTACTTTATTTACCTCCTAGTGAGGATTTCTCTCGAACATCTCCTCTTCAAGTCTTCAAGTCTTTCAAAGAATAAACAGAATTCTCTACCATGGAACGCCGTCTCTCAAGACAAGAGAAAGGAAAAGGGGTTCTCCTCCCCCCCAAGAGCAGAACGACGCCGACCAATTCAGATACCGCTCTCAGACAATGCAGCTCTTATAGAAGAAAACAAGCTCACGATTATGGGAAGAGTTACCAACCCAGCTTTCCAAAAACCTCAATGGGTCATGGAATGGCTCATTCAGTATTGGAATCTAGACAGTTCAGTCACATGAAGAGACCTGGGACCGGAACTCTTCCAACTCCGGTTCGAGACAGAGGAAGCGCTTCTATCTGTTCTTCGCAAAGGACCGTATCACTACAAGCGTTGGATGGTAATCCTCCAAAGATGGGAACCAGTAATCTCCAGAACTTTCCCAAACTTAATCCCTTTTTGGATTAACATTCATGGTTTGCCCCTGCACTTCTGGACGGAGGAATCATTGGAAGCAATAGGAGAAGAACTTGGCCCAGTTCTGGATAAAGATGTTACTAAAGGAAAAATTAGAGTCCACATCAACGGCTTAAAGAGACTGGAAATGCAATTGCCTATCCAACTCCCCTCAAGTGAAGAGCTTCTAGTAGACCTAGAGTATGAGAAGCTGGAAAAACATTGCTTCCTATGTTTCTCTCTTTGTCATGAGAAAGAAACGTGCCCCCTAAAGGATGATCTCAAGAGTTCGGACGCTCGGCCGCAAGGTATCAGCCAACTCAACACTTTAAAGAAGTTAGAGGATAACAGAAGAAAACATGATAGAAGACCCGACTCTCAGGCGTCACAAGACAGAGAACATTACTCGAGGGACCTCCCTCCGACTAGTCAAAGGTCAGCATACTCGAGACTGCAGGTTCCAGAAAGACACAATCATTCTCATCAAGACCAGCGATATCATAGTGAGAGTAGAGGGCACTCCCAGAGGTCCAGGGACTACTCGAATAAGGAGAGATACAGGCATTCTGATCATTCAGTCTCCTCAAATCCCAGCCATTCTTATCATAGTTATTCCAGACAGAGAGATATCTCTCCTCGCAGGAATTCGCAAAGAAGGGATGCTCCATTGGAAAGGGTTCGCAGCGCAACGCACCATGCAAACTCGCAACACTCTCAGAGCTCCAGAACTCCACCACCTAGACCACCTCGAGAACAAATGGTGACTTCTCCTACTCCGAGAATTGGAGATGTAAACAATAATTCACGTGACAGAATTTCGGCCTTAGAAAGAATAGAGCCATCCTCGCAGGGTACTGCTCTCAAGAACTCAAGAGATAGAGTCCCAGTGGCGGAAAGAATTGAGCATCCGCTACAAGGTGATGGAAACATCAGCTCCAGAGAACGTGTCTCAGTGCTAGAAAGACTAGAGTCCCCTATGACTGATAACCATAGAGGATCAGGCTTGTCTACCTCACTTTTAGCAAGACTCCAAGATGTAGAAGTTACTTATGAGGGGGAAGGACTACAAAGTCAACTAATTGGAGAAGGATCAAACTCGAAGCCAAACTATCAGACCCTCCCCTCCACAATGCAAGGAGAGGAGGAAAGAGTCCCAGCGACGCTCAGGTTGGGTACAGCTTCAGGAGCAAAGAGGAAAAAGCCTGGCCCAAAACCAAAACCGAAACCTAAGCCGGTAACTCAGTCCAAACAACAAGGAAAAAAGAAGGCCACAAACATCACTGGAACCACAAGATCAAGGGGTAACAGGAGTCCTCTTCAGGGGGTAACTTTCAAAAAGCAAGTGGCTTCAAGATCAAAGAACCCTCCGAAGAAAAAGTTGTGTTTGGACCGTGCGGCGAGATCAGAAGAATTACCTTATTCTAAGGAGGTGACTACTCCTTCAGTGGAGAATCAAGAGGCTAACAGGGGGAAAGTGGATTTTCAAAATCCGCTAGACCCGATTCCTTAGCGCTTCTAAGCTGGAACTGTCGAGGTTTGGGAGGTGACTTGACAGTTCCTAGAATCCGGGAGATGAAGAAAGACCAAGACCCGGATATTATGTATTTGATGGAAACAAAGAATCAAGATCCTTTTGTACTGTCTACTTTGCAATCTTTGGATTTTAATCATCATTTCACGGTCCCCCCCCATAGGACTCAGTGGGGGACTAGAGTTATTTTGGAAGAAAGACATCTCTCTCTCAATCTTATCTTCCTCTCCAAACCTTATTGACACAAAGATTATCTTCAAAAGTAAGGAATTTTATGTGTCTTTCATTTATGGAGACCCACATCAAGAAAACAAAGCGGTATTTTGGGAGAGCCTCTATCTGATGTTCCAGGGGAGGGGAACTGCTTGGGCAATTACTGGAGACTTCAACGATATGTTAGACAACTCAGAGAAAGTGGGAGGTCCTGCAAGAGCTGAAGGATCCTTCATACCGTTTAGCAACTTTGTCTCCACCCACGGGCTTTGGGATATTAAACATGTAGGAAACCATCTTTCATGGCGCGGACAGCGGAATACCCACTTCATCAGATCCAGGTTGGATCGTACCTTAGCAAACCTAGCGTGGGATGAAATGTTCCCTGCAGGAAGCTGCAGCTACCTCAGGTTTGAGGGTTCGGATCACAGGCCGCTAATCACATATCTGGACTCCTCAAAACTGAAACGAAGGAGGCCCTTTAGATATGACAGGTCTCTGAATGATATTCCAGAAGCTCGAGAGATTATTGAGCAGGCTTGGCAATCGGGAGTGTTGGAAAAGGTAGAAGTAAAAATTTCAAGATGCAGGAAAAATCTCATTAGATGGTCGAAGGAGCAAAGAGAAATCAAAGTCAGAGATATCCTCCAGAATCAAAAAGACTTGGAAGAAGCCTTGTCTACACAATATCCAGATCTTGAGAGAATAGAGAAGCTTACAGATTTATTAGACAAGGCGTATAAAGCTGAGGAGCTTTTTTGGAGACAAAGAAGCAGAATTTTATGGCTGCAAGGAGGAGATCGCAACAGTGCTTTTTTCCACGCTATAACCAAAGGAAGAAGAGCAATAAACATGATTACTGCCCTGGAGAATAGCGATGGAATTCCTGTACACGAGGAAGAAGAGATAGGAATGGTGTTTGCTGAGTATTTCCAGAAGCTGTTTTCTGCGAATGGCACCAATGACTTTAGCACAGTCGAAGAAACAATTGAGCCTCGCATCTCGGCTGAGATGAACGAACTCCTGTGTAGAATCCCAGAGGAAAGCGAGGTAAAGAATGCTGTCTTCTCCATCAATGCAGACAAAGCACCTGGAGCAGATGGATTCTCAGCAAGCTTTTACCAGTCTTTCTGGAGCGTAATTGGGCAAGACATTTACCGAGAAATTCGGAAATTTTTCATTACAGGGAAGCTGGAGTCTGGAGTCAATGAGACTCAAGTCTGCCTCATTCCAAAAGGAATCGCTCCAAGGACAGCAGCAGAATATCGTCCTATAGCCCTCTGCTCCGTCCGCTACAAGATCATAGCAAAACTCATTACGCACCGCCTTCAACCCTACCTGTCTAATCTGATTTCATCTCACCAGACAGCGTTTGTTCCGGGGCGAGCCATAGCAGATAATGTCCTCATTACCCATGAAACTTTGCATTATCTCAAGATTTCAGAAGCTACAAAGCGATGCTCAATGGTCATTAAAACTGACATGAGCAAAGCTTATGACAGAATTGAGTGGAAGTTTTTAGAAGCAGTGCTGACCCTCCTTGGCTTTCAGGAACACTGGATTCGTATGGTCATGGAATGTGTAACTTCAGTCACTTATACCTTCCTGATCAATGGTGCTACGTATGGCAAAGTAACTCCCTCTAGGGGCCTTAGACAAGGCGATCCGCTCTCACCTTATCTTTTCATTCTCTGCACTAAAGTCTTATCTGGGTTATGCAAGAATGCTCAAAGGAGAGGCAGCTTAAAAGGGCTGCAAGTGGCAAAACAAAGCCCTTTCATCAACCATATTCTTTTTGCAGATGACACCATGTTTTTCTGTAAAACAAACGAAGGTAATTGCTCAACGTTGATGAGAATCCTGAATAGGTATGAAGCATGTTCAGGACAGTGCATCAACCTGGAGAAATCCTCAGTCACTTTCTCAGCAAAATCGCCTGCAAACATCAAGGAGAGAGTCAAACTCTCACTAGGAATCAACTCAGTAGGAGGAATGGGCAAGTACCTTGGTCTCCCGGAAACCTTTGGTAGGAGAAAGAGTGATGTCTTCACGGGATTAGTGGACAAGATACGACAAAGATCCCACTCCTGGCCTACTAAATTCCTCTCAGGAGCAGGAAAGCATGTCATGCTCCAATCCGTTCTATCCTCCCTTCCAAACCACACCATGTCTTGTTTTAAAATTCCGAGTTCTTTGTGCAAGAGAATTCAGTCTGTCCTTACTAGGTTCTGGTGGGACAGTTCTCCTGATAAAAGGAAGATTTCATGGGTGGCATGGGATAAAATGGCGCAGCCGAAATTTTTTGGTGGGCTAGGGTTTAAGGATCTTGAGACTTTCAATGACTCCCTGTTGGCTAAACTTAGCTGGAGAATCCACCAGAACCCAGACTCCATTCTTGCTCAGGTCCTTAAAGGAAAATATTTTCCTGATTGTTCCTTCCTGGAAAGCTCAAAATGTAGCAGAGCATCGCATGGCTGGACCAGCGTTTTGGCAGGGAAAGCTGTTCTGGAGATGGGCTTGGGTTTCTTAGTAGGAGATGGGAAAGATATCAGTGTTTGGTATGACCCTTAGCTCTCAACCTCAAGACCTTTAACACCATTTGGCCCTCCCACTCAGAGCAATCAGGGATTGGTAGTAAAGGATCTCCTGGACCCGCGGTCTAACAGCTGGGATCTGGATAGTGTCAGACTTCATTTACCTCATTATGAGGATATTATTCGACAGCTTATTCCTAGTTCTCTTTGCCCACCAGATAAACTAGTTTGGCTGCCGGAGAAATCGGGTTCTTACACTACAAAGTCAGGCTATAGAATAGCTCATCATCCCATCTTCCCCCTAGCAGACAACACTACTAACTGGATGCAGCTAATCTGGAATGTCAAGACATCCCCCAAGATCCAACACTTCCTCTGGAGGGTTTTTCATAATGCCCTCCCAGTAGGCACTCTTCTTGCTATAAGAGGAATTCAAGCGGAGTTATCTTGTAAAAGATGTGGAAGTCTGGAATCGATACGGCACGTCCTCTTTGAGTGCCCTTTTGCCAAATCAGTTTGGAGTATGGTTCCTCTCTCTCTCGACGTGGTGGAGACCATTCAAGGGGAGGATATTAGACTAATCTTAAGCAGTCTTCTTAAAGCTAAGAACCTGCCTCCTTTGGGATTAGTCTCTGCCCCCCTTGCGCCTTGGACTATGTGGTACTTATGGATAGCGAGAAATTCAATGATTTTTGAAGACAAAATGATGCAAGAGGCTGAGATAATCTCAAAAGCTAGTGTAGCAGCAAAAGCGTGGGAAGCAGCCATGGAGTTAAAACCTCTTGTAGCAAAACCCCCTGTACCTTTGGTAAACTCTCCTTTGTTGAATATTCCTTCCATGTGGGTGGATGGGGCTTGGAATCAAGATCTGTTGTTAGGAGGTATGGGCTGGATAATCAAAGAGGATGGAGCTATCATCTCCCAAAAGTCTATGTCTCGGATGTGGGTTGGATCAGCGCTGATGGCAGAAGCACTGGCCCTGCTTCACGGTCTCATCACAGCTAAGGAGGAAAATCTTCATTGCCTCCAAATCTTCTCGGACTCTCAAGTTCTCATCTCGGCCTTGCGTTCAGGGCAGGATCTGAATGAGATTGCAGGTGTTCTACATGACATAAGAAGCCTTGCCACTCTCTTCAATCCCTTATCTTTTAATTTTATCAGTCGATCTCTTAACTCTCAAGCTGATCTTTTGGCAAAATCAGCTTTGTCTGTTTTAATTGTTGCAACAAACGTTTAAGTTACTGAATCAAAGCAGTTTGACCCAAAAAAAAAAAGATATAGTTTTTATTAAACAAAAAGAATATAAAGCGCTTTAGACATAACAAATGGAATTAGCAGTAGATAAGTTACTATCCAGCTAAGCTAAGTTCGAAAACAAATTACTATCCAGCTGCATAATCAATATTTGTTTGCCAAATTACATAGTCAATATTGTAATTTAGAAAATGGAGATTTGATGAAAAACGTGATATTGGTACAGGTAAGATTGGTCAAAAATCGACGACCTACTAGACGAGTAATTGTAAATCAGTCATATAATATTATTATTATAAAATATTTCCACCACGAAAATCTGACGTATTCTTTATGCAATATCTATCTGTCAAGACCCTGATAAAACTCAAATTGGATTATCAATTTGTTTTTTATTTTTCGTTGACATCATCTGGATTATTATCAATTATGGTTGGCTGTGGGTCAGATCCATCAACATGTGAGCTTTCTGCTACTCGGATCCACGTCATAAGAACTGAAACCTATGTTATTTTACAGAAATTGATGATATAATCTTATATATTAAAACAGAAGTCATAACTTTATTTCATGTGTGATTTTTTAAAAAATGGACTGTTACTAGAAAGTTATGTTACATTAACTCTCTAATAATTTTATCATTATTATATCTTATAATGTGCTTAACAATTTTGTTTTGGTAAATTACCCCACACCTTCCAAAATATGTCAATAGATATAAATTTAGGAATCTTCTATTATTTATAAGGAAATATGTCAATAATAGTTAAATGCATCCAGAATATATTAAAAAAAATCACAGATTATTAATATGTAATGTTTATATACCTTAACAAAATTTACACGTTATATATATTAGATAAATTTATTTCGATGTAAAATTTTAAAATTGT